CCAAGTGGTGAATTCGCCACTGGAGTTCAGGTGCCACCCCACTTTTTGCAAACAGTATTTTTGAAGAGGGAGGTGCACCTAAACTCCAGCAGTGAATTCACGCGGTTCCTGCTTCTTGTAAACAGCATTTAAAGGGACCCTTTAAAGAAGCAAGGCAGCTGAACTCCAGTGGTGAATTAACCACTTGGAGTTCAGGCATGCAGGGCACCGGTCCCCAATGTGATGATGTCACTTCTGTGTGATGCAGTTGCATTGGGGACTCCCTTGAGGAATGCCCTCCAAAGTCCCCCACCAGCAAAGAAGGAGGACCTGGCAACCCTATAAGAGGTATGCTGTGTTGTCAGCTGTGCATACTGAAGCAGCCAGGCAATTGTTTTAGCACACTGACTTTTGCAAACACTCTTTAATAACTTATTTTGATTTGGGGAATTGGTCTATGTAATGTATTCAGCCTGACATGCCCGGACTTGCCCGGGCTGGCCAGGCACAACTCTTCAATAGCTTCATGTCCAAAGACAATGGGTCCGTAGGATCCTAGCCGGCCCAATCAAAGGGCCAGCTTCTCAGCCGGGAGACCAATGGTCGCCCGGTTACTGTAAATAGCCTATCGGGAGTAGGGGGTGTGTTTAGGTGTACTTGGTGGCGGGTTTTCTGAACCTATATAACCAGCCTGCGAGCTGGTCCCTTCGTCTTTGTCCTGAACCAAATAAAGGTATGCTTAGCTGAAATCACTCTCCGTCTGCATACTTTTCACTGGCGACGAAGGTGGGATCCACGACCCCATGAACAAAGACCCGGACGCCAACGCGAGCACCGCACCGAGCCCCGACGCCGAGACCTCCGGGAACCGCGCCGCTTCGCTTCCCAGCCCTCCGGCAACCGCTCATCGCGCAGCTCCCGGCTCCGCTTCGCTCCCTGCTGACCCCGAGAGCAGCAGCGGCCTCCACAACGCTCCCGACGCCATCGCCGTTCCAGAGGCCACCCCACCACGTGGCGACAGTACAATGGCGACCGCGACCGCAACAGAAAGCCTGCCCGCTTTCGATCTCTCCCAGCCCTCGCTGTGGGACACCTGGCTGGACACGCTGGAGAGCCGCTTCACCATCCACAAGGTGGTGGATGACGCGATGAAGAAGGCTTACCTGCTGAGCCACTGCGGAATCCAGACCCATCGGCTCCTCAAGGACTTAATCTCGCCCAAACTAACGAAGGACGAGTCATACAGCTCCTTAGTCCAGGCCCTGACCGACCATCTGGCTCCCAAACCCACGAAGTACGTGGAGCGGTTGGACTTCTTCGCAAGAGTTCAGGCCTCCGCCTCGGCTCCCAGGGCCCCCGAGACCGAACCCATCGCTACCCCGGAGCCCCGACGCTCGACGCGCCCCAAGAAGCCACCCGCCTACTTGAAGGACTTCGTCTGTGGGTGCCTTCTGAACCAAGGGGGGAGGGGTGTAATGTATTCAGTCTGACATGCCCGGACTTGCCCGGGCTGGCCAGGCACAACTCTTCAATAGCTTCATGTCCAAAGACAATGGGTCCGTAGGATCCTATCCGGCCCAATCAAAGGGCCAGCTTCTCAGCCGGGAGACCAATGGTCGCCCGGTTACTGTAAATAGCCTATCGGGAGTAGGGGGTGTGTTTAGGTGTACTTGGTGGCGGGTTTTCTGAACCTATATAACCAGCCTGCGAGCTGGTCCCTTCGTCTTTGTCCTGAACCAAATAAAGGTATGCTTAGCTGAAATCACTCTCCGTCTGCATACTTTTCAGTCTACATCCTCCTCAAGTTCTACCAGTTATTTTAGCACTGTGGTGAAACTCACTCAAGGTGTGTGGCTCTGACCACAATGAAGCTCGCAGATGATCGCATCTTTATTCTTCATACTTCTCAAATGTCTCTCTATTATATTTTTAAGCCACAATGAAACATGTGTCAGAATGTACACACATTCTGTGCAACCATGGTGACATCACCATGCTTAGGGTTGCCATCTTCCAGGTGGCACCTGGAAATCTCCCACTATTACAATCAGGGCTCCCAAGTACTTACCTTGATTTGGCAGAGGATATGTAGTTCTTTGCGGGACCATTCCCACGGGGAAAACACAGGTGCTGCACTGGTACAATAGAGTTTCCAGCTCCATTACCAGAGCGTCGCCCAGCTACGTGCCTACGTCACGTCTGGGTGACGGAATAGTGCAGCTCCTGTGTTACAAGCAAGAATCTTCTGGCGGGGAAGCATGTGTCCCCCACCAGCTTGTTGGCAACCCTAGTTACAATTGATCTTCAGTCAACCAAGTTCAGTTCACCTGGGGAAAAATGGCTGCTTTGGAGGGTGAACTCTGTGGCATCATACCCTGCTGAGGTCCCTCCCCTCTCCAAACCCCTCCTTCCCAAGCTCCACCCCCAAAATCTTCAGTTATTTCCCAGGACAGAGTTGGCAACCCTAACCATGCTACTATCCAGGGGTCATTTAGTAGAAAAATAGGTGCAGGAGCTCATTAGCATAACTCATTAGCATAACTTATTTGCATATGTCACACCCCCTGACATCACCGGAAGTGTGTCAGAAGGCAACACCCACCGCTCAGGCTCCACTGGACTGTTTTGGATTGCTAGGTATTGGGGGAGGGGGGAATGTGCAGATCTGTCCTCGCAGAGGAGGGAGAGCTTGTACCTGAATAAAACTTGGTCTTAAAGGTGCCACTGGACCGTTTTGGACTGGGGGGCCGGTGGGAGCTCTGCAACTTACCTGGCTGCTTCTTGCTCTAACTGAAGGCTGCTGGGAGCAGGGGGTGAGGCTTGTTTCATGTGCCTGCCCCCTGGGCTTTTTACTGCCGGAGCTCCGCTCCTGTGCGCTCCTGCAGGAAATGACCCCTCTACTATCACAACAAGAAATAGCTGTCTAAATGGATCTTCACTCTAAAAGATTTCATCCTTCCTTCAACTAATCAGGAGGTGGCCTGCTTTTACTGAACCCAGGAGATAAATTGTAATATTGACAAACTGAATGCTTGCAAGAAGCAAGGGGTCTCTCACACCTGGGGCTGAGCAGCAAGGCTCAGGGGTCTTGCTGGGCAATAGTGTCCCCATACAGGGAGCTTCTGGGCTTGTGCTTCAGAACCTCTCCTGTGGATGACCAGAGATTGGTGATGAAGCTACTGATTTTAGTAGGTCCCGGGTGATACAAGGGTTCAGTAGAATTCCACCAGGTTCCACAAAGCGATGTATCCTGGCCCAGTTTCTCAATCTGAGAACTAACTGAGCTGCCTTCCAATCTCCTGAACCCTTTTACCTACTTGACATTCTGCTTCTTGGCATGGCTAACCATTTACCTTCAGATCTCACAGTCCTAACTTTACCTTAAAACTGAGCATTTACTTATAAGTTCTAGTGAGTTGACAAATGCCTCCAAAGCAATGGTTTCATTAAAGGCTAGCAAGGAACCTGCATAAAGGGGAAAGTGTGTGGGATTTGACAGATGAATGAAGTGAAGTCAGTGTACTTTATTTTATCTGCTGGGAGAGGGGGAGCCACCACTGCATACCTGGGAATATGTGGTTCTTGATGTAAATGTCAATCCTGTATCCATTCCAGAAGAAGATCAAGATGTGAGGAAGAGGGGGTAGAATAATGTGCTAATGACTGACTTGACTGTATCTGAACATGACAAATGGCTAGTCAGGATTTAAACCATGCATTCACTCTGCTAATGCATTCACATCTATCCTATGAAAAGAAATGCTTTTAATTTTCCTTCATTACATGTCATCAGCTCAATTAACCATTATATTTGTAGTAAATGCTGGCAAATTACTGCATTCTCATTTTGGCTTGCCTGGAGATTTATGTCTATTAGCGTTAATTTATTTGCATTACGTGGAATTTCTTTTCCTCTTTAAGAGCGGCATGCACCTTTTCTCTGAACGGTCTTTCTGTGTTTGCTGCCGTTTCGATATTTGCTTACTAACGTTTAATATATTTTGCTTTTTTATTTTGCTGGCAAAGTTGCATTGATGAAAGCTGATTTGCAAGGTAGATAGCCCTTGTATATATTAAGCAAGACTGAAACCCAGAATGTGCATTGAGGACCATTCGCCTTCCTGCACTGACATATGTTGTATTGCATCCAGTCTTCTCTTCCCCCTTTCAAAATGTGATGCAAGAACCTTCCTCTTACAGGATATTCTGCATAAAGGCTTTCAGTCTTGTGTTTATTTGTACAGTGATTGCTTTAGTGCTTTGATCATGCCTTTTTCTTTAAGTTCTCCCACGCCCGGTCTAGTTGATGAGTCTCTAGAAATAGAATAGCTTTGTTTCTCACGTGTATGTCACTTTTGAGCATGCTGGTGCATTACTTTGCAGATTTTTCTCCCCCTTTAAAAAGAAACAACCCCCCCCCCCGCATGGGATAAGTAAAGCATGTGAAATGATACTTGCCAACATTCCTGTTATTAAATCTGTATAAAATATATTGCAAAAAAATAATAAGCCCAGTCAACCATCTCTTGATTTTCTACAGGCATCGCTCTTCATCAAATCATTGCTTGGATGGCAGTACGTTTTGTTTCCACACTTGCTTTTTTAATTTTATCATTTTAAAAGAAAATAGTTTGATATCCTGCTTTTCATGGGTACCTGGCAGAACTTACCAAGTTGGAGAGAAAGAATCAAATACGCCACAATGAAATTAGCAATGTTGATGGCAAACCTCGTTTTGTGAATTTATCTGCTTCTGTTTGGTTTTTTTTAAAATCATGTTTCTGAATCAATTCATCTCTTCATGGACCTCACCATTACGAAGGAAAGCCATATGCCTTGTTATTCAAAAAAATAAAAAATTAAAAGGTTCTGTCCACTCCTGCTGTCTGTTCTTTTCTTCAGTTTGCCCTTTACATATTGAGATGTTGGCAACTACCTTGTGTGATCTGGTGGCAAATGGGGTGCCTATGAGAGACAAAGGCCCAAGTTTCCTTTTTTTTCTGTGTATATGTTTTCGTTAGGGCCCAGCACGACATGCCAAGAGGACTCGTGTGCAAACCAAGGCGTCTGCTTGCAGCAGTGGGATGGCTTCAGCTGTGACTGTAGTATGACCTCCTTCAGTGGAACGCTGTGCAATGACCGTGAGTACATTAGAGACTGCGTCTCTCTCTTTCTCTCTCTAGAAGGCTGAAAGGCTCTAGGGCACTAGCCTTGGAACCAAGTGTCTTAAATGGTGCATTCTTTTAATATTATATAATTAATTGAACTGGCAAACTCTGCAGAGATATTTTTTTGTTGGAAAAATTGTTTTGCTATGCTCTTTGGAAGCACATGGCTGAAGCACTGCATTAGAGATGGTGCACTAGAAGTTTTACGTGGGGAGACTGTGGAATTGCAGTGCTGAAATTTTCCATCCAATGCACGTTGGAATATCATCTTTGCATAAAATGTTAAGACGTGGGGTTTTCCCCTCCCCCGTCTCCCTTTCCTTCCTGATTTTTAGTGGGGAGAAAATCCTTTCAGATCTCATTTTTCTTAAGAAATATTGTAATTTTGTAACATTATATCTTGAGGGTTGTAATTACTGTGAAGCCGTTGACAACCTTCATTATCTTACCTACGTCAAGTTGCTTTAGGTGACACAAAACGTTCTGTCAAATAATTAAAAAAAAAAGAACTTAGTGCTTTATTTCGCTTAAATGTTATCTGAATAAATCTCAAGATCATTTACCGATGACGTAAGTGAAAAGGATCACATTTGGGTGTTGAAAACATCTGGGGTGAGTCAGTACAATGACTACACTGAGTGCATGATCTGTGTATGAAACTTCCTTAGGTAAACACTCTGATAGGAACACGTCTACTTAGAAACATTCAGAGGATTGCTGGGGAACAGGTTAGTGAGGGGTCTCCCATCCAAACACTCACCTGGCCCAATGGAACTGTGTACCTTCTTTGGATGGACATGAGCTAGTGATGACCAAGCCACACTTCTGCGGTAACGGTTCCTTTTTCACCAGCAGTGATCATAGAGATGGGTGTCAGTTCACAGTATGTACAGGACAGTTCTCACTAAACTGTCCCTGTCTTGTTATGTATCAAGAAATTTGGGTGTATGGGCATGCTCAGTAAACCGCAGAAAGCTGATTTTCAGCATTTCTTGCTGCATCTCTTGATTGTATTTCCATTGTGGATATGTAGTTCAAATCCCATCTTGCCAAAGAGATAAAATAATAGCTTTACTAAACATTTAAATCCACATTGTTCTGAGGAGCGTTTTGAGGGAAAGAATCCTACATTGATCTCCCCCCCCCAATGGCACAGCTTCTTTCAGATTCACCAGGTTTTATCACTATGTGTGAGAACCATACTGTAAGAGTACCATGGGAACACAAGCCATGGTTAACAAAACAAACCATGGTTGGTTGTTAGGGTTGAACCATGTGGATCCGATTATTGACATTGTCTCAAAGTGATGGTCAAGCACAAAACTGGTGTTTGGTTGGACTGGTCCACGATTGTGTATGTGTGTGTCTGTGTTTTAGTTTTCTGATCTGGTACAGAAAATTTCCGTGTAAATGGTAGCTGCCATTTTGAAGTTAGACCAGTTCAGTTTTTTGAACTCAGAATGTTCAGCCACTTACTTTAATAAAAGGTCCAAATGTTTTAATGCATGCATGCATGTTTTATGATCACACAACATCATTGGGTTTGAAGTTTTAGGATTGTATAGACAGTATTATGAAAGGGGGTTGGTTTCCCTGCCCCCCATAAAGGTTAAAATGTCAAGAGTAAAGGTAACTTGTTGCATAAGGGAATAGACATAATGAGAATGCAGATGCTTTGGAACTCAAAATGTAGTGAGAAAACTTAAACTGTAAGAAAATGTGATGCTAGTTCCTGCATTAGCGGGTTGGTGAAATTACCCTGTATTTTAACGTAGACGTCCAAAACAATTGGATTCTGATACAGAAAGGACAGATCTTCATGCTACAGCCTGGTACCACATGGTTGCCAATTCCTGGTTTGGAAATACTTGGAGATTTGGAGGGTGGGGCCTTGAGAGGTCAGCGTTTGGTGAGGGGAGGGACCTCTGCAGGCTATAATCCCATAGAGTCCATCTTCCAAACTACCTATTTTTTCCAGGTGAACAAATCTCCATTGTCTGGAGATCAGTTGTAATTCCTGGAGATTTGCATGCCCCACCCAGAGGTTGGCAACCCTGTGTATGATTCTAGAGGGTCCTTTGCAATGTTCCCTCTAAGCTGTGGAGTCTTGTGAGCAAAAATTCTACTTTGTGAGCTACTGGCATTAAAGTGGTGAGCGAGCAGTTTGGATATTGCATAAATTACTTTGCTCTGGAGCCCTCCTTCCTGAGCGAAGACAAAAATGTGTGAGCCGGAGGCTAAAAAACGGTGAGCTAGCTCACACTAACTCAGCTTAGAGGGAACACTGGTCCTTTGTTTCTCAGCACCCTTTTTGAGGGTGCAGCTAGATGCTGGGGGAAGGTGATAGAAACTGCTTTTACAAACTTGATTCATCTGGAGACGGCTTGCATCCATGCCCCAAGGTCTGCTAGCATTACAGTACTGGTGCCCTGCTTGGGGTTAACGCCATAAATAATGCCAAGCAGCAGGACACTGGGCAACAGTATGCACTGTGATACATGGAGGGAGAAGACAGTGTGCATACATGTACAATCGGGTGATGGGTATAGATAGGAGAGCTTCCTTCATGTGATGTACTTGTAGCCCTCTGTACAGAAGCCTGACATAGAGTGCTGGTAGTCATCACCTCCTGTAGGCCACTCTCAGTGCCATCCTAAGCAGAAATCAATGGACTTAGGATGGCTCTGTATAAGTCTTTCTGGGAGCATAGCAAATTACTGATAGAGGCACTACATCCCCAGGCCCTCCCCTCCTCTATTTCTTCCCTGTAATCGTGTCCCAACAATATGTGCCACCACATGGATTACACCCTAAAGAAAACCAACGTAAGTTCGTACATGGAACTCTAAGCCTTTGATAATAGCACAGACAGGCAGTGTCCTTTCCCCCATTCTTTGGCAGGGAAACAATGCAAGTATGTTTTGACCTCAGATGACACGAAGGTTCCTTTTCTTTTTCCGGCGATGATAAGTTGGAGTAGATGCGGAACTACAATCTTCAGGAGATGAAATATGACAGAAGGCATTATACTGTTCAGTACAAAGGCAACTGGTGTGGGGGGGGGAGTTCCAAAAAAAACACAACCCTAGGATTATACAGGAAACTGCAAAGAGGACACCTAATGATTACTCTTAGAAATGGATAGCTGCTGCGACTCCTCTGAGGGAGGGGGAAACTTTAGGAACATTCTGAGTAACAGCAGGTTTTCAGCTTCTGAGCTGTCCTCCGCCCAAGCAGCCAGCTTTTCTTTAAGCACGGGGTTGAAAATGATTGTGACCCAAAATTAGAGCCTCTGTCTCAAGTGTTCCTCTGTTCTCAGCTCAAGTCTTTCTGTAAGTTTAAACTTCATTCCCCGTTACCAAAATTCCAGACAAAACAAAAAAAACCAAGCACAATCAAGAATGATCATATTTTCTTTAAAGAATAAAGTAACAGCAGTTTGGAAGATTCCAAGCGTGTGTAATAGCAAGAATAACAGCATCACGTCATATTAGAGCCCATATGTTGTGTCCATATGATTGCAGTCCAGTCATGGTGCTGCGTCTTATCACGAGGATATTTTAAAAAGAGCTTGGGTGTAGCAGCATGTAAGGGTGATCCACGTAGGAATGCTCCTCCTCGCTTGGTGGCCGAAGCATCAGATGAGGTCTTGAATGTCTAAATGAGGGATCCCAGACAGCCCTTTTGTAGCACTTCACATCTTATTTATTAACTGGGGTTTAGATCCATGAAACTCCCAATCTCTCTGTAGATAACAGAAACTCCAGTCTAGGCAAATGAGAGTTTCCTTATAATTAAGCAGTCAGCATTTTGTAATGAAAAATCCAAATGGACTGGAACTATGGTTTGATTTGCAGTTCACTAAATCTGGATTCCCCTCCCCCCAATTTTGGAGTTCTGGACTACCTGGTCTCATTGCCAAAGTGGAACCAAAGCACTGGGAATCTTCTGCTTCCAGACATCTGTTTCATGGTCTGAATTTTACAAAGCAGTCTGTAGGTTACATCCAATGCCAGGAACTTGGAAGGCCTGCACAAGGTCCTCTGATCTTCATAGGCCTTTCTTCTCCTTCTCTGTGATTATTGGCCACATCAGTGGTCCATCAGTGGCTATTAGTCACAACGTATAGATGTAACACCATATCTGGGGCAGTGATGTTCTGTATTCTTGGTGCTTGGGGAGCCACAATGGGAGGGCTTCTGGAGTGCTGGCCTGACTGGTGGACCTCCTAATGACACCTGGTTTTTGGCCACTGTGTGGCACAGAGTGTTGGACTGAATAGGCCAATGGCCTGATCCAGTATGCCTTCACTTATGTTCTCCTTATCAGTGACTTCCTACTCCAGAATAGTTTATTCCCAAGGTCATAGGACCTGCATGGAGTAATAGCCACATTGTTTCAGAGACTACAGACGGGAAGGGGTGTGAAATCTCTGAGCCAATTGCATCAATGAACCTCTGTGCCTGAGATCTTATCATATATGTATAGACCTTTTTTTCTGTCAAGTTGCACCCAATTTATAGCAACCCCTTAGGGTTTTCAAAGCAAGAGACATTCAGAGGTGGTGTAGCAACCCTGGATTGGTGTAGTGGTTAAATGCGTGGACCCTAATCTGGGAGAACCAGGTTTGATTCCCGCCTCCTCCACTTGTAGCTGCTGAATTATCTTGGGCAAGCCATAATCCTGCCAGAGCTTTTCTTGAAAGAGCAGTTATTGAAAGAGCTCTCTCAGCCTCACCTATGTCACAGGGTTTCTGTTGTGGGGAAGGGAAGGGAAAAGAGACAGTAAACTGCTCTGAGATTCTGAGTGATGGGAAGGGTACAAATCCAATCTCTTCTCTTCTTCTTCTTCTGGTGGTCTCCCATCCAAATACTGTCCGGCCCACTCTGCTTAGCTTCCAAGATCTGATGAGACTAGGTTAGCTTGGGCTATCCAGGTCAGGACATCATAAATATACCTAACAAAAAAAACCCCAAAAACATGCCTGGAGTGCTTTTTCTGTGTCCTGTTTACTTATGGCTCGCTGGGGAGAGGGGGCATTCAGTGATGATGCTGAATACTTGGTGGGCAGTAATAGATTACATAGAAAGATAATATATCATATTAATATGCGGTGTGCATAATAATGTTCAGAGAGTGATCATAATCAGGTCTACTCAGAATCCTACTCAGGTCTATACAATGGGGCTTCCTCCCAGGAAAGCATTTTTAGGATAAGTGTTAGTATGCTAATAATTTGGAGCAAATTAGGACTGTTGGTGTATGTGCATAATGGGAGATTACTTTTCTAGTCATTTGATGGCATGTGCATTATGCTCTTGTGAATGGGCTACTATATAACCAGATTGTAGACACATGTTCAGCTTTTTGTGAAGAATGCCCAAAACTGAATTTCGCAGATTACAGAATGTGACCTTGGATCTTGGGGAAGTAACTGTCATCACTAAACTCCATGGGTTTCATAGTCTTCCTAATGAAGACATCTGATAGAAATCAGTCAAAACATATCGACATGCACCTTTTGTGAGGAAGACTGTGCTGCATTAATAGGAACTGTTCTTGATGCCCACAGCTAATTTTCCTCTGCATGTTGCACAGAGACTTGCACAGAGAGGTGTGATTTGTTCAGTGCCTGAGGCATATAGTTTTCTAGACTATACATTCTGTTTTTCAGATTCTGTAGCGGTTCTGTGGTGAATTTCCCTAGAATTTTCCAAAAAGGATACACATCTGATTATTTTTGCATCAGATGCTCATGAGAGCCTTCTTGTTTTCAGTACTCTATTCGGTCCTCAGTTGTGGTAAATAATCCCCAGGGGAACATCTCTTGCACAAGCTCTCCTGAACTTAAACTTTTCAGTGCCAGGGTTTACCTTGGAATATGTTAAGTCAATGATAAAGAAGGTGTTGAGTATGCTTCTGGCAGAGTTCTTTTGTTAACCATAACCAGTCCATGGATATCTGGAATTGGATGGGAAACTTCCAGACCTTGATTTTCGGGCAGGTTTGAATCTCAACACCTCTCTTCCTAGGACTGAGCACTTATGCAGGTCATATTTATTTCAGTTTCTCTTTGATTGGTGTTTAATCATTATTATTTTTAATTATAGATTGATCCTATAAAGCCCCTCCTTTAGTGTTCTTCAAGAGCTTTTGAGGGTAACGTGCACGTAATCCCTGTGGAGCTTTCCATGGAATGATTTGAGAAGCTTCAGACTAGCAAGAATAGCTTTGCAGTATTTGTGGTGGTTTCTCAAGAGGTAGTAATTACGTAACTGGAATCACAAGCCACGCTTTGCAAGATTTATAAATTTGGTGCAATATAACAAAGAAACAGTGTCAAAACCACTATTTTCTCTCTTCCTCTGCAGAGAATCAAAGAAATTATTAAACTGGAGTTCGACTTTTATCAAAATGGCTTTTCTTTTACAGGTGGAATGTGTAATCCCAAATTAAATCTCTGTAAATCATGGAGGGAAAAACAATTAAAAGTGAATTCAGTGTATTGTTATGGCAGCAAAATGGGAACATGCTGTAGGTTACAAAAATTCCAGTTTGAGAAATTCTATTTCAATTTATATTTTAAGTAGACGTTGAAAGAAAGAATATGTAGAAATAATGTAAGAAAATCAACAGTCATATAATTCCTTCTACTAAAATGTTAATTAAAAATGAAATGGGGGTGTTTCAAACATTTCCTTCTGGTAAACAAGAAATATTGATAGCATTCACATTTCTGTTACAAAGAGAGTTGCCAGCAACTAGTAGACGTGGGGGATGGGGCAGAGACTGGCCATGGTGTCATTTCTGATCAAAAATCCAGAAGTCACATCACCATGTCACACAATATTCTAGGAGATCTGGTAAATTCCTAGAGTGTCACAGTGATGTAACTTGCAGATTTTTGTTTTACTGAAAATGACACCATAGCGTTACATGATGTCAGTACATATACCCTGTATGTTAGGGGGTGTATGCATTGAATCTGCATTATATGTGGAGTTCTGTGAAAAGTTCCTAAATCTGATCCTGCAACACTATATAATTCTGGTCTGATTCTCTGTGACAGAACCCATTATCTGATTGGGGGACAGGAAGGTGGCATAGGGAAGGGGTTCTATAGCTACTCCACTGCACTTTCTTTATGTGCTGCATGATCACACTGCATGGCTCCACCCCAAGAAGCAGAAGCAAGGTTCACATAGTCCCACACAGATCATGGGTGATCTGATTGGGGCTATGTGAATCCTGATGCTGCTTGTGGAATCAGAGCCACACAATGTGACCATGTAGCACTTAAAAAACAAAAAACAAAACCAGAATGTTTCATGAAGGCTTCCAACTGTTTGGAACGTCCCATTGTTGTTCCTTGAACTGTACAGACTATGATATATTTACAGTGTGATCCTATGCAGAGTTATTCCAGTGTAAGGCCCTTAAAATCAGTGCAGTTGGGAAACAAATCCTCCAAACCTTGCCACATATTTTATTGTTTCTCCTCTTTGATTGTACTAACATGTTTCATAAATTACAGCAGCTCAGGATGAACAGAGCACTCCACCTGCAGCTGCCTGAGGCCTGAGAACTAATTTTAAGTGTGGTGAACAGCCTAAGATTTGTTTTATGTGCTGCACAGTCTGTGAGTACATTAGGCTGAAGCACCACAATGGCTGCTGGCTGACTGTGTGGAATCCATACCTGTCTCCCATCACCTCACTGCACTGTCTTTGTGGTTTTTTGACCCTTTACTCCCCCCCCTTTCCCTTACGATTTGTCTTTATTAATTTTCTTTTATCACATTCCCATCAATTCTCACCAGCAAGATCTCTCTGAATTCAGATCCCATCTTATATTGGAATTTATGGATGTTAAGAGCCATCACTTCCAAATTGTGGTAATTTTATAGCTTGTTTTACTAAGCAGAAAAAATACCATTGCCACCTCTCTTTTTTTTTAAGAAGCTTTTCTAAAAAAGCAACAAAATGGAGGGAGTAGTCAGCTGAGACAATGAACAACAAGCTTAAAACAGAACGGTTTAAGCCCATTCGTTGTTCGTTGTACAACTGTCTGCAGGGTTAAGGCCTCAGGAAAAGTAATGGCCACAGCATTTTGGAACCTAGAGAATTATAGCAATGTAGAGACTCCTGGATCTATCGTGATGGTTGCAACAGTCATGGGAGAAGACTGGTGATCTGTAATCCTCCATGAAGTAGTGCTTTTTCCATCTCTGTCTCTAAATGGCATCTCTCCTCCTCACAGATAGGGTTGTCATCCTCCAGGTGCACCATGGAAGTCACCTGGAATCAAAACTGGTCCCCATACTACAGAGATCAATTTCCCCTGAAGGAAATATCAGCAGAATTATTTCCTTCCTGAGTTTCTTCCCCAGATCATGCCTCCAAATTTCCAGGATTTTTCCAAGCTGGAGTTGGCAACCCTACCTGCAGAATAAATAGCCCTTGTTTTAAACTCTGCTCTCTATTTCTCCTTTTTTTAAAAAAGAAAAGAAAAGCTTCATTGGCCCCTGGTGCCATTATTCTGTCCTACTTGATCCAGGTCTTCCCTGTTGTTTGCCATGTCCTTGGGAAATAAATAAAAGACTTTGTTGCATCACACATTCAGCTCCCTGCTTCCATTCAGGCCTGCATTCCATTCAGGCCT